CGCAGGCGTGATTGGTGGAGACAAGAGACTGCCTTTTCAGTGGTGGCCCCTCGGCTTCGGAACTCCCTCCCCAGTGATGTTAGATCAGCCCCCTTCCTCCTGACCTTCCACAAGAGAGTGAAAATGTGGTTTTGTGACCAAGCCTTTAGAGAACTTGTGCAATAGATAAATTTGGAACAATGTGCAATGACCATTGAAATGGCCTGGATTATACTCGTGGATTACGTGTTTAACTATTAATGTATTGTTTTTAAATGTTTTAATTCTTTTAATATACTTTTAAGTTCGATTTTAATATTTATTCAACTGTACATTGTGTTTTAGGGCATCAAATTGTTGCCTGTATGTAAAGTCGCCTTGAGTCCCCTCTGGGGTGATAAAAGTGAGGTAGAGATGTCGTAAATAAATAAATAAATAAACTCTAGTGCAGGCTGAACTGCTGACCTGAAGGTCTTTGGTTGAAATCTGCAAGATGGGGTGAGCTCAACTGTCAGCCTCAGTTTCCCATGTGGGAACATGAGAGAAGCCTCCCACAGGATGGTAAGACATCCGGGCATCCCCCTGGGCAACATCCTTGCAGACGGACAATTCTCTCACACCAGAGATAACTTGCAGTATTATCTCAAGTTGCTTATGACATGTATTTTGCTACTAATTAATATTAAAAATCCATACATTGGCTGAACAGTTCTGACAACAGCCATGCTGAATGGTTAATAATAGTAAAAGTAGCTAGCTAAAGGCTTCCCAGTTAATTTGTAACCATACTGAAATTTCAACTGGGGATGGGCTCACTCCCTCATCTGCCATTCAGTGCTGCCTTTCATAACATAGAGTGCCGAGATGCCAACCAATGCATCCAAATCATACGCTTTCCAGTTTTCAATGGAGAACAGTTTGGATGTTTCCCTGAAGCAGCATGTACTAATGGATCTTTCCTTATTTTTTTTCTTAATCACTGTATTTCTCTTTCATGTTCTTGTCTAACATATTGATTGAGAAGAGAGTTGTTGCTCATATTCCAGCAGGCTTTTCAAAGTGAGTTACTGGGGAAAGGTATTGTGCAAGGGTAATTGAAAGTTTGTGCTGATTGTACCTGTGGATTTTGCTTTTCCATCTTCTCTGTGAACAATATACACACCAGGTCTACCCCCGTGTTCCTTCGCATGTGCATTGGCATCTTCTGATAATGCCGCACCATGAGAAGAACAGTATCACACCAGACTGCTTTGGATAGATGTTTGTCTTTGGCTGTGCAAACTCTCAGGACACAAACCCCTGCTTTAGTAGATTGTGTAGCTGAGTTACCCATCTGCTTTTAGGTGGGGATTAGTTCATTTTGACAGTGGGGATAGTGAGAGATGTTGAGGGGAAAAATCAAGGAAAGATGTACAATTGGCCATATCCATGGATTTTGCAACTATGGATTCAACCATCCATGACTTGAAAATATTCCAAAAAGCTTGAGAAAGATCCCAAAGGCAAACCTTGATTTTGTCATATTATATAAGGGACACCACTTTATATAATGGATTTGAGCATCCATGGATGAAACCAAACCCTAGTAGATACCAAGGGTGTATCCATATCTCTATATATAGGTATTGTGAAAGGAAAACAAAATGGTTGACCCAACCCATGTCGACTCATGAAAATGGCATATTTGCATGCAGACTTTTGGTCTATGTGTTATATCACTAGCTTCAGAATGTGGTCTGCCAGACTTGATGCATTTGGGTTTCCTCTTGCTCAGTCTGAAGAGGAAACCCAAACCGCTGCCCCCAAGTCTTGCTCTAAGAGCAGCATTACAGGGCAGGACTGACTTGCCAAACCAATTGCTAGCTTTACATTGGCTGTTGCACGTATCGCATAGAAGGTGCCTCAGTTCAGCTTCCTCTGTAAAAAGTCAAGGGAAACTGAAAGCAGTGGTTAAAAACTGCAACACTGTACTTTCCGTGGGGAAGATAGTTCAGAGGATTTTTTCGGGGTGGGGTTTAAACATAGAACAAATTTGAAGACCAGATGCTCCAGTTCTCCTCCATGCCCCATGCAGCCTGTCTCCAGGAAAAGGTAAACCTCTAATCTGGAAAACATGGTTAGATGGATTTCTTTGGAGGGCCTGCAAAAACTCATTGCCCTTTACCACCTTGCAACTGCAACCAACTTGTGCTGGGGGCGCATTTACATTATAGAATTAATGCAGATTGACCCCACTTTAATGCTATGGTTCATTGCGATTGAATCCTGGGATTTATAGTTTGGTGAGGCACCAGCACTCGTTGGCAGAGAAGGCTAAAGACTACAACTCCCATGATTCCATAGCATTAAGCATTAAGTGATGTCAAACTGTATTGATTCTACAGTGTAGATGCACCCCATCTTGGGATGGTTCTGGACGTCTGTGGGCCAGAGACACTTTTAAGGCCCTCAACAGCATAGTGCAAGTGTTTATTGAGGAGAGGGAGAAATATCATTATTTATTGAATTTATAAATCCCCTTTCTCCAAAACTGAGATCCAAAGGAGCTTCCAAAACAGTAGTGTGATGGGACAGGAAGCAGTTCACCACCTCAGGAGGCTTAGGGTGTGTCTGCACTGCCGAATGAATCCAGTTTGGCCCCACTTGAACAGCCCCGACTCAATGCTGTGGAATCACGGGAGTTGTGGTTGCACAAGGTCTTGAGCCTTCTCTGTCTTGGAGTTCTGGGGCCTCACCAAACTTCAACTCCCATAGCATGGTAGTTAAAGGGGTGCAAAACTGCAATAATTCTACAGTGCAGATACATCCTAGATTTTGAAGTCCACTCACCTCTGACTTTGATAATGTAACTGTGTATTGCGGGGGGGGGGGGGGAGATAATAATCATAACAATAATATTTATTTATCACATCAGGAACGAGCCAAGGGCACAGTAACAATGTATTTCTTAAAAATGAAAAAAAAAACCCCAAAGTTTAAGAACTTGGAATTATACTAGATCTCCTTTGACCAGTAGCTGGCCACTTGGAGTGCCCCTGGTGTTGCTGTGAGAAGGTCTTCCATTGTGCATGTGGCAGGGCTCAGGCTGCATTGTAATAGGTGGTCTGTGGTTTGCTCTTCTCCATACTTATATGCCGTGGATTCTACTTTGTTGTCCTACTTCTTAAGGTTGGCTCTGGTGCCAGAGCGCAGTCTGTTCAGCGCCTTCCAAGTTGCCCAGTCTTCTGTGTGCCCAGGAGGGAGTCTCTCATTTGGTATCAGCCATGGCTTGAGGCTCCGGGTTTTAGCCTGCCACTTTTGGACTCTTGCTTGTTGAGGTGTTCCTGCTAGTATCTCGGTAGATTTTAGAAAACTATTTCTTGATTTAATGCATTGGCATGCTGGCTGACATCCAAACAAGGGATAGGCCAGAGAAGTCACTGCCTTGGTCCTTTCATTATTGGCTGCTACTTCCTGGTGGATGTCAGGTGGTGTGATACTAGCTAGACAATGTAATTTCTCCAGCAGGGTAGGGCACAGGCAGCCTGTGATAATGCGCCATGTCTCATTAAGAGCCATATCCACTGTTTTAGATGTATTCCACACTGGGCACACATACTCAGCAGCAGAGTAGCGAAGTGCAAAGGCAGATGTCTTCACTGTATTTGGTTGTGACCCCCAGGTTGTGTCAATCAGCTTTTGTATGATATTGTTTCTAGCACCCACTTTTTGCCTGATAGTCAAGTAATGCTTCTTTTCGGACAGAGAACATAATAATAATAATAATAATAATAATAATAATAATAATAATAATAAATTAATTACACAAAATGGACAAGTCAAACAACTCTGGGACTTCCGAATTCAGACGGACAAGCGTTTTGGAGCACAATTCTCCTGACCTCACAATCATGGAAAAAAACAAAGTATGGATCATTGATGTTGCAATCCCAGGTGACTGCAGGATTGATGAGAATCAACTGGAGCAGCTTACATGATAAAGAGGATTTAAAGATCGAACTGTAAAGACTCTGGCAGAAGCCAGTCAAGGTGGTCCCAGTGGTGATGCCTAAAGACCTTGGCCTGTACTTAAAAACAATCAGCACTGACAAAATTACCATCTGCCAGCTGCAAAAGGCCACCCTACTTGGATCTGCACACATTATTCACTGATACATCACACAGTCCTAGACTGGGGAAGTGTCTGACCAAATACAAAGGCAGCATAGGGATCTTGTTTGCTGTGTACTAATCTTATGTATCAAATAATAATAATATTTTGACTGCCATTGATTAATTGCTATTGGCTTCTGGAAATTGTAGTTTTACAAGTTCTTCAGCTGGGAGTGCTTTGATTTTGCTTTTCTTGTATGGCAGGGGGTTGGATATGGTCTCCTCTAACTCTGTGACTCAATGATTAAGTATTGTCGAAGGCTTTCATTGCTGGAGTCACTTGGTTGTTGTAGGTTTTCTGGGTTCAGAGGAGGATGCTTGATACAGATGCAGGCAAAACGTCAGGAGAGAATGCTTCTAGAACATGGCCATAAACCCGAAAAATCTACAACCCAATGATTAAGTAATCAATTTGTGACCCAAAAATGCCCACCCCGAAAGTATGCAGTTTGATGATAATGATGTTACACCACCTTTACTTACTTCCCATGACTGCAGTTTGGCCCCACTTGAACTGGCCAGGCTCAATGTTAGGGCTTCATGGGAGTTGTGGCTTCAGAAGGTCTTGAGCTTTCTCTGCCAAAGAGGGCAGGACGGTGCCTTCGAGTCAAGTGCAACTCCAAAAGCATTGAGCCATGGGCAAGCCGGGCAGGGTGAGCCCCACAGTGCAGGCGCAGTGGGCGCGCCTCCCTCCTCCTCCTCCTCCCTCTGAGCCCTTCCTCCGCCGCGCCCCCGCCGAGGCCCCGCCCCTCCACGAGGCCCCGCCCCACACAGTGAGGCCCCTCCCCCTCCCGTCCGGCGGGCTCCAGGCCCCGCCTCCCGCTCTCCTCCTCGCCGGCTCGGCTGGGCTGGTTCCTGGCTGGCTGGCTGGCTGGCTGGCTGGCTGGCGGTGAGGCGAGCGAGGGCTGTTGCCGCATGCTGCTGCTGCTGGGTGCCGCCGCCGGAGGAGGAGGAGGAGGAGGGAGGAGGGAGAAGCGGGAACATGGCGGAGCCGGACTGCAGCGCGCTTCTGGACGAGGAGCTCTCCTCCTTCGTCTTCAACTATCTCACCGACAGCCAGGTAGGGAAGGAGGGAGAAAAGGGAAGGCGCCCCGCAGCCTCCGCTCGGGACATGTGCCCGACGCCGCGCGGCAACGTGGCTTCCCATCCATCCATCTCTCTATCTCTCTGTCCATCCGGGCAAAAGACATCCAGAGAAGGCGGGCTTGGAAAGGGCTACCAGCACCTACCAACCCGAGCCCGGCTTCCCATTGACCCAACCCGGGGACCGTGTCCCTCCCGCGCGTGCTTGACCGGGGCTGACAGATTCGGAGGCACGCGGGAGCCGGGATCTGGCGCGCGGCTTGTGCTCCTCTCCTGGCCTTCCGGAGAGAAGGAGGGGAGCAGTTCCCACGCGTGGAAGGGGGAAAGGCGAGAGTCAGCCGGCTGGCCGGCCTGGGAACGGGACACTTCTCTTTCCACGCGGCGCACGTGGAGCGGAGCCGGGTCACGCTGCCTCCGTCTCTGCTTCCAGCTCCCGGCGCTGCCCGGTTGGAAACCCTGCATGCCTTTCTTCCTTCCGCTCGTGGTGCCAGCTTCACCTCCTGGATGTTGGGGAGCAAGAGGGCGGGGGACCCCCCCCCCCCCGGTTACCCCTCTATCGCCTGCCTCAGAGCCTTGAGTTCAGCCTTTTTCGTGGGGCAGCCAGGAGCGGCGAGAAGAAAGGGGAGCCCTCAATGTGGGGAGAGAGGGCTCTCGCTGCTGCTGCTGCTCTTCCCACAGCTTGGAAGGAGGGGGCAAGGAGGAAAGCAGCCCGTGGTGGCTCCCAAGGAACAGCCCCGCATTGGGAGCCAGCTGCAGGCTCAGAGCAGAGCTTGGGTCCTGGGTGCGAGTCCGGCGCTTTGGCGGCTCCTCTTCCTTGCAGCTTTGGAGGGAGACCGGGAAGGAAGGGTTCCTTGGGAGCTCACAGTCATTTCTCCCCCAATTTGGACCCAGTTGCAGGCTCAAACAGATGTAGGGTGGGTTGCTGTGAGTTTTCCGGGGTGTATGCTCCAGAAGCATTCTCTCCTGGCGTTTCGTCTGCATCTATGGTAGGCATCCTCAGAGGTTGTGAGGTCCTGGTTCACACAGAGGTTGTGATGCCATGGTTGTGATGTATATAAACCAACCACGCAACCTCTGAGGATGCCTGCCATAGATGTCGGCAAAACGTCAGGGAGAATGCTTCTGGAACACGGCCAGGCAGCCCCAGAAATCTTACAGCAACCCAGTGATTCCAGCCATGAAAGCCTTCGACAATACATAGGCGAGGTCTATATATCTGTGGAATAATGTCCAGGGTGGGAGGGAGAAAGAACTTTTGTCTGTGGGTGTTGCAATGGGCCACCTTGATTAGCACTGAATGGCCCTGCAGCTTCAAAGCAAGGGAGAATTATATATCTGTGGAAAGTATATGTGTAGAATGGGGTTTTTTTTGGGGGGGGGGGAGTCCTGGGTGCTTATTGACCCGTAGGTTTGCATGGCAGGGGGGTTAGACTAGATGGCCTTTGTGGTCTCTTCGCACTCTTAAGGGCAAGTCAGGGATTGGAGGAGAAAGAGGCCCCTGGAGGCTCCCAATAAGCGACTTTGGAAGATCCCTGCCTCCTTTAGGTGGGGGTCGGGGGGGGGGGGTCCTGTGAGTGTCAGTGCTGCTCTTTCGATGCCACTCTACCTGCAGCTCCGGGAGGGAGGGAGGGAGAGGGGCGGGGGGGGCGGTCTCCCGGCGAGCCCCTTTGGGAAGGCCGTCCCCCTTCGGGACCGGCGCCGGCCTCCAATCAGGTGGAGGCTCTCTTGGCAGCTCCGGCCTGGTCACGAGCCTGTGCTGCTTGGGAAGGCTTCAGCGGGAGGCATTCCTTTCCCGGGGAGGAAAAGCCTGGCCAAAGCCACCAGGCATCCATCACTCAAGCCTTGAGCCTGCCAAGACTTTTCCATTGGGGACGATTGCTCCACCCCCCCCCCCTCCCCCGCTCCCTCCCTCCCCTCCCCCCTCTTCCGCACTTGCTCTCAATTCCTATTACTCAACAGCAGCTTTAATTTGGGATCATGTCGCGCATGCCACTGGGTCCCGGTCTGTCTTGTTTTGTGCCGGAAACAGAGGCCAATCGGCTTTGTTTGGGTCCCAAACAAGCCCTCGCCTCCTTGCTCGCCGGGCCGAGTCGTCCCCAGCGGAAGGGTGTTGATGGTCCGGATGAAACCGGGCTGGACCTGCTCCAGACCAGACCCAGGGCAGCTTCAGCCCCTCTGTCCCAGTTTGCCTCGGTGTGTGGGGACTGGAGGAGGAGGAGGCTCTTTGGGGAGTTCAATGGGAGGCAGCTGGAGGAAAGGAGAAAGGGCAAGGATGTTTTGCAAACAGGCCTTTGTATTTTCTGCCTTGCACAATATATTTACATAATGCTGACTAGGAAGCCCCGAAGGGAACCGCGGAAAACACATCAAGGCGGCTTACAAGGTTGCATAAAAGACCCTGGCTGCCTTCTGAAGTCGGCTCCCCTGTTGTCAGTGGGGTGCTCTCCCTAGCCATACTTTAAGAGCAGAATAAATATTATTATTGCATGATGCACACCCATTAATAGGACTGGTCTGTTGAAATACAACATTTCCCAAACATCATTATGTGAAGAGAAAGTTGAACATGATATATTGGGTTTAAAAGGGCCAGTGAGTGGAAATTTCCTGAAAGTCAATGTTTGACATAATCCAGACAACCTGTGTTGCTGGTTGTATTATTGCTGATACAGTGGACTCCCAGTTAACCGGCACCCATTGGAATACACTTTCTGGTTGCTAGCCAAAGTAGCCCAGAGTAATATCCAGTTGTGCAGCGGGAGCCCCTGGTGGCACAGCGGGTTATACCGCTGAGCTGCTGAACTTGCTGACCCAAAGGTTGGCAGTTCGAATCCGGGGAGCGGGGAGAGCTCCCACTGTTAGCCCCAGCTTCTGCCAACCAGTAGTTCAAAAACATGCAAATGTGAGTAGATCAATAGGTACCACTCCAGTGGGAAGGTAATGACGCTCCATGCAGTCATGCTGGCCACATGACCTAGGAGATGTCTATAGACGTTGCCGGTTCTTTGGCTTGAGCACCACTCACCAGAGTTGGACACATCTAGACTTAATGTCAGGGGAAACCTTTGCCTTAAAACATTGAAAGCAAATTAGGGTTGCAATGTATTGTTGAAGGCTTTCATGGTTGGAATCCCTGGGTTGTTGTAGGTTTTTTGGGCTGTATAGCCATGTTCTAGAAGCATTCTCTCCTGACATTTCACCTGCATCTATGGCAGGCATCCTCAGAGTTTGCCTGTCATAGATGCAGGCAAAACATCAGGAGAGAATGCTTCTAGAACATGGCCACACAGCCCAAAAAACCTACAACAACCATAATGTGACAGCTTTACTTTATTATAAAATGGATTTGTGAATGCAGTATGCAATTTTACTTAATTTTTTGCCAGTTGCGTGAATTTTGATTAATGGAGAGTCTACTGTATGTACAAGCATGTAATAGTAGTGATAGATTAGTGATAGATTGTGCACATGACTTGAAAAGTCTTTTTTTTTTTAACTCTCTTGATAAGTACTTTTCTCTTTCTGTGCCTACGTTCAAGGGTTAAAGTCTGGAGTAAAACTGAGGCTGGCATGTGATTTCTTTGGAAAAATGATTCAGGTTGTAAATGTGCTTTGCACTTGTACCTTGACCTCTGACGAAATGGCAGTGAAGGCGGCAGCTTGGGCCATTGTCACATGCTTCTCTTGGAACGATAGTGAGGTGGCTCCTAGGCTTGGCTTGTGACTTTCCTCCCTCCCCATTGTTACTACTATGCTATACTAGCCTCTCCTTATCGCTGGGCTGCCTCTGGGTTTGTAGTGAAGCTGCTTTGGCAGGCAAATCCTTCCTTCTCCCCCGGTGTGTCGTAGCCAGAGATCACATTATTCTAAGAAGCTAAAGTGTCAGAAAGTGATGAGATAATGAATATCATCCATGTCTTTTAGTGGAGACTCCTGGAGGATTTAGGGCTGCCCCCTCCCCCCTTTACTCTCTTTGAAGCAGCCCTGCAGGAGAGTTGACCAAGGTGCCAAGAAATAGGACAGGTGAACAGTTTCTGCTTAACCCTCACCTTGGTCGCTGTCTTGCATGGAGCCAAAGGATATTTCTGAAAACGACTGCATTGCAACACTTAGATATTAGGAGCCTTTTCTTCTGCAGCTTGGATGGTTCATCAAAATGGGCTTATTGTGCAGCAGTGTGAAATGTATGATTTACACGCACGCCGGCACAATGCATTCTGGGCTTTTCATTTTGAGTTTGTGATCATTGTTGCTAATTCATCAGGTGTTGCAAAGTCTCAGGAATTCCTGGTATACACTGCTGGGGAGATAAGAGCCAGAGACTTCAGTCTCCCCTGAAGAGCGAGGAAGCGGCTTGACTCTTCCATTTTTCATTTGCTGAAGGAAAAATAAGAATGGTATCACAGGCCGCCACTTGGAGCTTCCCTGGGCAGTATTTCCTCTCTGTTTTCCCAGAGACTTGCAAACAGCTCAATTAATTAACGGTTGGAGACGTAAACTATTATTGACCAAAACAAAATGGTTTGTCTTCTCTCTGATGGTATGCACACACTTCCAGCTGTTTCATAGATCTGTGTAAATGCTCCTTTTGGCTTGTGTGGGCTGTCACTGTTGAAATGCCTTTATTTCCTCCAGTTGATTAAGGCAGAAGTGTGGTATTATTCCTGACAAAACAGAGGTTATTTCTTTTGCAGAATAGTCTGCTGGTGTTAGAATACCTAAGCCAACATTACTTCGCTGTTTGGTGGGAAGCAGAGAGATATATTTTGTTAAGGTGAGCTTCCTCTATCTCAGTGGTTCCCAACTATTTTTTGACCAGGAACCACCTGAACAAGGACAACTTTGACCAGGGACCACTCTCCAACATTAGTACCAAAAGAGTTACAAATCAGCTTTAGATTCAGTTTGGTTATTTGCGGTGCTGATTCAGAAAATTGTATTGGTTAGACCATATCAACTCTAGTTGTTGATACAGAA